TAGAAAAAAAATTATCTGATAAAGCTTGCCATAATATAATATATATATATATATATATATAAGTAAGAAAAATGCGAAGGTGATAAAATAAAGAAATCAGATTTTTGTAGATAAATCACCTTAAAAAACTATGGTTGTATTTTATTTCCTTGTAGCAATAGTTGAAAAACTTCAAGATTTCTATGCGAACAACAGAACCTGTAATATACATTATGCTGAAAGCCTAGTTTCACTAAGATAAAAGAACTCTTGTTTAGAAAAAAGTGATAGCTTAAAACGTCGCTAAGGAAATAAAATACAACCATAGTTTCAATGTGATTTATCATCACTAATATATACTTTTATTAATCATTAATTAATGTCAACTGACTCACTAAAAATAATTCAAATATAATTTATGAGCAAAATGCATCTGTAACGGTTAATTTCTTTTTCATTAGACTAAATATTTAATTTGAAATTTATTTATAAGAAAAGACATATTGTGAACATTATATCAATTAAATAAAACAATTATTATCGGTAATTTGTTTTTATAACACCATAAAGTATTCAAACAAAACTATTTCTTCCATCCAACATCAAATAAACCAAAATAAAAAATACAATGTATCGCTGTAAAAAAAATATAAATATTGTATTGGTAGACATACTTATTCATTTAACTTTCATACTTTTCCATATCAGAAAGTATAAAAATTGAAGGATTTTTGTGAACTTTTAAGATATTATCCTGAGCTATTTCAGTATCAGAGTTTGTAGTTATATTTTTAAAACTTCCTTATTTCTACTTGAACAATATAACCTGTAATATTCGTTATGCTGGAAGTCTTAAGATGAAAGAGTCTTTGCTCGTTTGTTTTTTGCTTCAGCAACATGTTACTTATTGAAAACAACATATAGTACAAACCTTAATAATTACACAATACAGTTATTACTGTAAAACGTATAGAATAATATTATACAACATCATCTTTTGTCAGAAATATCTTGTAACAATAGAAACATTAACAGTGTTTAACTTTTTTCATTAAAAGAAAACCTCAAAGTTTTTATATTATTGTTTCATTCTTTGGAAGACTGCACATGTTCAACTCTTAAAAAACGCATTTCAAAATCTGTGTTTTATTTCAAATCAAATAGTTTGTATAGTTCACAACTTCAAGATCTTACACATATATATATAGCGATTCGCCGATAAACTAACCTATACCAGATCATACACATTATATTTACAACCGTGTTTTTTTCCAAAGGAGATCAATACAACTGGCACAGTCATAAAAGCTCTTAAACACTGCTTTTGGAAAACTGCTACCTTTCCTGACGTTTCTCCTCCGAAATGTTCTTTCAGTCTCTTTTCTTAGAAAAGTCGATATTCAGACTGATAAAAGGGTTTCTCTGTGAATCCCTTTATTTGGTGTCACGACTGAAAAGAAAAAAGAAAACAATGAAAAATTGCCACTAGAAACTAAATGTACTTTCTAATAACTTGAAATACAAAATTATTTAATTCCCAGTTGACAGTCATAAGAGCCATATTCTGTATGTACATACACGCACGTACATAAAATAGAATAAGACCTAAGCCATCATAAGTAATTAATATTTTATTCGAAAAAGTGTCGACTTTTTATGAAATTACTGTGCATTGATTTTTAGACATCTCTTTCTATTGGTCAAATTATTCGTATTAGCAATGAATCTTAAATATAGTAAACTATTATAACTTGATATTTACCCTAAATTATTTTGTATGCTTAGAGGGTTTATTTTTCTGTAATAGTTCACAGTTTTGATTTCTTGACTCGATTTTATATTTTATATACCTACACCTAACTGCATTACTTTAGTAATTTTAAGCTCCATTTTATTCCAAGTCTAAGGAACATCTATGTATAATTTAATTTAGTTACATGTGAAATATAAATTAAATTAATCAACAATTGTTTGTTTGTTTGTTGTTAAGTACAAACTATACAATGGGCTATTTGTATTTTTCTCTTATCTGATTGGTAGATAGTCCATTATGCTTGGTTTAATTGACGTTTGATTCATTCCTGTAGCTTTTAATTTTCTTCATATTTGTCTAAGGCCCTGAATTAACACTAAATTAAAACACCCACTAATTTTGAATTTTAATCATACATTTTCTTTAGATGAAAATTTTTCTAATCTTCACTTGTTTAAATAATTATTCTAGTTTTGTTCATAATATCATATAAAGTGTATTTTCACAATAGATAACTTCAAAAATCTAAGACATTAGCCAAATTATCAACTTTTGACTAAGAATTGAGAAACTAAAGTTAAAGGACTGGTGGAATCCTACTTAGATTTATATGGTTTTACAAATACACAATTTCAACATATCCTACTATTAATTAATTAAAACACTCTGAACACATTTAAATGTTATAGTTGTTACAATATTAGTTAATATTCGTATTTGTAGATCAGTTCGAGTATGAACTGTTACAACTAGTCTGCTAAATTATTTAAAATAGTTAATTGCAATCACTTCATTTATATGATGAAGGTAGCCCGTCACATGAATATATATATATGGATGATGTTTTTAAATATAGATGTATAGTAATCATTTTCAAAAGTCTTATATAATAATTCTACATTCATATTCTTTATGCAACACAAAATATACCCAACAGTTTTCTGTTTATTGGAACTTACATATCTTAATTTTCATAACAAGATTGTCTAAAAAATATTCAATTTCTTAAGAATGTTATACTTAATTCACTTTAAAATGGGATTTAATAGGATTTTTTTCCCATGTACTGTTCATGAGGCCTGGGCAAGTGATATTGCTGCTATGCAATACTACACTTTGTGCAAGGGTATTTATAGCAGTGATCTTCAGTGGTCGTTCAGGTGATATCTAAGGGTTATGACTTCACCTATATTGAAATAAGAATAATCAATCACAAGTAGTACTAGGACATTGCTCTAGTAAATACGACGAAATGCGGATTTAAGCTATACGGAACATGATCTTGATAGTAAGATATCCTAGTAAGTGTGACAGCCTGCCTTTTAAAAAACACATAGATAATTTTCGTTTGTGTTTTACGTCTGTTGTAATAAAGATTGCTCAAAATACATATATAATCTTCGTTTGTGTTTTACGTCTGTCGTAATAAAGATTTCTCAAAACACATAAATAATCTTCGTTTGTGTTTTACGTCTGTCGTAATAAAGATTTCTCAAAACACATAAATAATCTTCGTTTGTGTTTTACGTCTGTTGCAATAAAACTTGATCATTAAACACTTCACTTTACGTCCAGTTTATTATTTCATACAATATCACGACTCCGTTTAGCATTATTTCTAATCAGTGCCTTCACCAAATCTCCTATTATTAAGCAGACTTATTTCCGTGCTCTAGGGTTAACTCGCATTTAACTGAACATACCACACAAGAACAAAACCTTTTCGCATTATTGCGTTATCGTATTTGTAATCATAAATTTTCAAATTTCGTCTTAATTCCTATAAGATGTGATTAATTGTCATGAGACGAGCAATATTCACTAGTCTTTACATACGACGTTATGCTTCATAAGTCAGCTGTTTAGTGGAGTCCACTGAACTCTACCTCAGCCATGGGTAAGTTAAAACGCTTAACGTTAATTTTCGTATGTTATAAGAACAAAAGATTTACTAACGTAGCATAAAACAGTCATAACTATAATATAGAGCGAAAAAGTATAGAAGAAAAATGAACAACGAACTAACGATATCCATACATAGTGTAAGTATTGAATAGAACAGAACACATAAAAAATTCGAACATGATTAAACAACAGTGTCAGCAATATCGTTGACAACTGATAATTTTTAGTAGAGTTTGACTATAACGTTCAAATATACTTGGAGATAGAATTCAATGAAATAACAAAGAACCTTTGAAACAATAAACCAGTAGCCTTGGTTACAATTTTCGTGGTGGTTGCCAAGTTCTATCTCCACAAAGTGAAACACAGCTGAGGATTGCAGAGTTTAGCGAACTATCTTAACTCTCGAATTACCAATTTCTTGCTATATCATTGTCTAGGGGGGGGGGTCCATACATTGCATCATACACAATATTAATTACTGGGATGAAATGCAATATTGATTATATTCTTATATTTATTTTTTTGTTTGTGTCATATGTGTAACCAACAAAGTCATAGACCCATAAGCAAGATAATAAAATATATTTAAAAGGTGGATGGGATCCGAACTCCATCGGCAGTTCTAGGTTACTCTTAGGTTTGTTTGTTTGTTTTGAATTTAGCGCAAAGCTGCACGAGGGCTATCTGCGCAAACCATCCCTAATTTAGCAGTGTAAGACTAGAGGGAAGGCAGCTAGTCATCACCACCCACCGCCATCTCATGGGCTACTCTTTTACCAATGAATAGTGGGATCGACCGTTACATTATAACGCCCTCACGGCTGAAAGGGCGAGCATGTTAAGTGTGACGGAGGATCGAACCCACGACCCGCAGATTACGAGCCGAGTGCCCTAACCACCTGGCCATGCCGGGCCTACTCTTAGGTGATTGTGTAATTTCTAGTCGTATGTTTACCAGAAAATATATGTATAGTGTTTATAAATAAGTTATATTTAAAATGAAATTCCAATGCAAGCAAACACAAACCATACTTGTGGAACTAGAGTTTACTCTCAAATATTTTTTTACTCAAAATAAAAATTCTGAGATACGAACAAATATTATAACAACTAAACTAAAAGTCGTATTATTGTGTATTTAGACTTTTGTTCTATTTCCCAAAAACCTGGAAAGTCATGTTAAAGGACTTTCTTTTTACTTGAAATCATAAATAAAAAAAGAAAAGATTTGTGACAAGAGAACCAGTAAAATTTATTACCAGCAGATGGTTTGTTAAAGATCATAAATAAAGAAAAAAATTGTGTTTCTATACCCAAGTCTTGGTTTATAACTTTCTTTTCTATGCTTTCCTGAATTTAGACAGAGACCATGGCAGTAAACCAGTCAACCAACGACATCAGTTCCCTGCAAACCTTCATGAGATCCACAAAAGCTGCTTTTTATTGGGCTATTAGGTTGGTCGTGGGCGACAGGTATTCCTGAAAATTCCACTGCGATAAAGTCATTTCCAGAAGGATATTAATTAAACACGGTTGAGTTAGAATGCAGTACGCGAGTCACCAATGACATATTGCACGAAAAAAATAGTTGGTCACCAGTTCTAGATCATTCGGTTCTTTAAACTCGCAACAGATATGAAAGAAATACTTTTATATATTTTTTTAAAACAACAGATAGTCCAATGTTTCATATAGTCCAAAAATACAATGTACTTTTATTATATGTGTGTACAGAAAAATAAGTAAACTACAGATTAATAAAACATAATTCTAACAGATAAAATACCTTGAATCAGCTGTTTATCTGTTGTTATTTCTAATTATTTATATGCTCTTTGTGACTTATGTGCTAATTTTAACACATTTTTAAGTTTTAATGTGCATTATTTCTCAACGTTAGAATTAAACTCTGTGCATTGTACTGTCTATACTAGAACAAATATATATTCAGTTACGTTAATTTTTATAATTATAGTATTAAACACCGTTTTGTACTGCGGTAGGTCAGCCTAAAAACAAACCAATCAGACACTGTTCCATTGAAATTTGGAATTATATTCCACATATTTACACCATCTGTGAAAAGTAACCAATTTTATCTGTTACAGTTACAGATCAAACGTCATTTTATTTTGTTTTTTAATTATATTTTGTCATTACGAAATACACGTCTGAGCCCCAAGAGCCTTTCTACAAAGATTAACGTTCTGATCACAAAGTTTCTTTATTCCTAAGTGCTTTACAAGACACATAGTTTGGTCTCTATTTAAATCAAAATGTTTTGATTTTTAAACAAGAATTTGCACACGATACTATATGGTATCAACTACGTCGTCGACTGTTTATAATCCTTACTATATTCATTGTATAGACTTTCTGTCTTTTGGATCTGTTTATATTATCTTAAATGTCAACGTATATTATCTTTACTTTTAACATAGGTTCTCCATCCGGCCTCTAATAACCTTTAAATTGTTTACCGAAGTTCTTTAACAGAAACTAAAGTGTTTTGTATTCTAATTTACAGTATTTTTTGAGTAACTGATAATCTTGATTATTTCTGATGTGAGACCTGTCTAATTTAATATGTTGGTATATCGTATATTTTTAAATTTTGAAGCTAATTGGAGTTTATTATTCGCCGTACTTTATAAAATGTATACAACACGACCTCTATAATGTTGATTTAACTGTCGATTGTTCATCTTACAGCATCTTGAGAAGTTTAATCCTACAAGTATTATGATAGAGTTCAATTAGGCGATAACTTGGAATGGAGCAAGGCGATTCTTCACTCATAACGCGTATTTTTCACTGTTTCAAATGAAATTCTTCGAACAGCTACACGAGGGCTATCTGCTTAAGGATATTTATCAGTGTAAGACTAGAGGGAAAGCAGCTAACCATCACCACCCACCACCAACTCTTGGGCTACTCTTTTACCAACGAATAGTGGGATTGACCGCGACATTATAATGTTCCCACGGCTGAAAGTTCGAGCATGTTTGGTGTGACGAGGATTCGAACCCGCAACCCTCAGATTGCGAGTTGAGTGCCTTAACCACCTGGCCATGCCGTGCACGATAAATACGCCTTAAACAAAAATTCTGAAGAAGAAAACAAAGTCACCAGAGCATAGGCTATAAGGTTGGTTTTGGAGGTGGCTACGAAAGTCATTATAGCCTGTGCCCTGATGACTTGGTTTATTTCATCAGTTTGGTCTTGCTGTTTGTAACGCAGTTCTTTCTTTTTGATGTAAGTATTAACTGAACTGCTTAGATAATGTTTATGTTCACATTTATTTTTATGTGTGTGTGTGGGTATACATATTATAGTAAAATATAAATAAAAGATAAACTCGTTAGTATAGCATATTATTAAAGGTCCCAACTTTTTCACAAAACTGTTACGTTTAATAACGGATTATCTATTTATGATAAGTCATGTTTAACTATCAAAATAGTTCCGCAATAGGATCAGTTGTGCATAAGTGTTATATATCTCACATATTTCTCCTATATATATATATATACGTATATGAATATTTCCATATACTCTACTATACAGTGATATAGTGATTGGCTGGTATTTCCTGTATATATACATATCTTAACATCCTCACCTTTACAGTCATGTAGTGTCTGGCTCGTCTCTCCTATATATATATACGTATCTTAACATCCTCACCTTTACAGTCATGTAGTGTCTGGCTCGTCTCTCCTATATATACATATATATATACACGTATCTTAACATCCTCACCTTTACAGTCATGCAGTGTCTGGCTCGTCTCTCCTATATATATATACGTATCTTAACATCCTCACCTTTACTGTCATGCAGTGTCTGGCTCGTCTCTCCTATATATATATATATACGTATCTTAACATCCTCACCTTTACAGTCATGTAGTGTCTGGCTCGTCTCTCCTATATATATACATATGTATCTGAGCATTCGCCAATGTTTTATTATACGTGTGTGTAAGTTCCTAAAAAAATGTGGACATAAATGTTTTGGGTAAAAAGTCATACACTAAAGTACCATATATTTTATAACATCCTTATCTATACTTTAATGTACTAAACATAAAACAATGCTTATGATGTGAACTCCTGACATCTATTAATATTTCGTAACGTCGTGTTATTGCAGTAATTTGAACATATCTATGCTTGCCTAAATTATTTAAGATTTTGTATTGTAAATGTCCTTACGGAAAATATGTCACACAATGATTTGGATTACAGAACGATTTACCTGTTTCCAATTTCAGCAGGTTTTACGTTGGGTCATTTTTGTTAACACTGTAAAGTTACCTTTGCTCGTATAAGCTGGCCAGGCCTGATATAAAAGTTAGTGTGCCGAGCTGCGGATCGGAAGGTTCAAGGTTCGAAATCCAGATAAGTCGCTGGTCGTACTTCCGTACTTTCAGCTTTGGGGGTTATACCTGTGTCACTGCATAGGCGGAGAGTGCTTCTTACTGATTGCTTTTCCACTGGTCAGGCCTGATATAAAAGTTAGTGTGCCGAGCTGCGGATCGGAAGGTTCAAGGTTCGAAATCCAGATAAGTCGCTGATCGTACTCCATACTTTCAGCTTTGGGGGTTATACCTGTGTCACTGCATAGGCGGAGAGTGCTGCTTACTGATTGCCTTTCCACTGGTCAGCAGTTCTAAATCAGAGATGTCTGTGTTTGAGCCTTAGGAGTCTCCGACCTATCTTTTCAGACCAAGCGTTTCCTAAAGTGCCGTTCAGGTTGAAAATACTAAATATCAAATCTTATAAACCATTACTGAGGGCCAAAAGGAGATAAATATGAGCTTGATGAAAGCCAGTTTCATTTATACGTTTATCATGATCCAACTTTATGTTTTAATTAATGAGATATGCTTGTGGTAAGGTATTGAAATATTTTTTATCACTACTAAATGTCTTTTTAACAACTGCGTACATCAATATAAAAACAACCAGAAGGGAATTAGATTAACATAACTTTCGGTGTGAATGCTCCAAAGTTTCATCTCTTCCATTACGGTGTAAATCAATATAAAAACAACCAGAAGGGAATTAGATTAACACCGGTTTCGGTATGAATATTCCAAAGTTTTATCTCTTCCATTACGATACACATATAATGATCCCCGAGATCAAGAATTGTAACTCCCACTCTCTAAGCGAATGCTCTTCTATCCCAACTAAAGATTTACATTACCCCGTATCTACTGCTAATAAGGCTTAGAATAGCTCAAAAACATATATAAGAGTTAGAGTATATTTCTCTAAATATAGAATAAAATATTAAATAACAATGTTCTTTTTAAGTGAAACGTGAAACTCTGGACCTTTACAAAAATAAGTCGTATTTGTTGTGTGAAGTTCATTCAGGATAGAAATATGTGGTTACGAAAGAAACGATTCTTTAATTGTACATTATTTTGCTAATGACAGTTTATGAGTATGTCGTTACTAAGTGCACAAATTTTGACGAAAGATAGATAAATAAATGGGTGGACGAAACAGAATCTACACAAAATGATGTATCATAATGAAACTATTTCATCTCATACCTACTGCATGTGTCTACATTGTAATTTAATATGCTAATTCGGATTTATTCCTGTTTTGTTAAAATGTTGTGTCTCATTGTGGAATGAACTCCTTAAAACATAATTTCATGACATATGTATGTTCGAGGTGCGTTTCGTCGCCTGTGATTATCAGGATATATAGTAACATAACCTTCACCCAGGGTGTTAATATCATGAGAGATATATACAACAACTTCCTATCTCACTGAGAAGTATATTACAGCTATTTTATTAACTCCCACATTCGACGTAGCTCACTCCCACTCATAAATTGTCTCTCATTATAAGATAACTGTCAAAAGAGCAATAACGACCACATCGGAGAAAGGACTACAGCCCTTTAAGTATCTAGCAGTTAATTAGTTCATTTAGGCTGAAGTAATGGTGCATAGTTAAAGCGTGCTGCTGTACAGAGTTTCTATGTGGCTTGCAAGGAAGCTGTTGGATGTAAAGTGATCAACGTTGTTTCCTATGGAATTTATTGGACTTTTTGTGTCTTGAGTTGCATCTTTGAAATGCGTTAAGGATCATCTAAGTACTTATAAGGATTTTATGTCATGTTAAAGATATAAACGATTTTCTTTTTGCGGTAATCCTAATTAACTGCATCATATAAACCAAAATATTCCAGAAATATAAATTTCAGTAAATCTGATCCAACACTCTGAAGATACAACTTACCATTGACTAGTTCCACCATTCTCCGGTGATTCAGCTGCAAGTCAAAGAGAGTATATGCTGGAAATCGGGTTTTGATACCCGCAGTGGAGAAAAGTACAGTCTTGGCCAAAATATTTGAACATTTTGTAACAAATAAGATAATTATTATTACGATAGAATACAAATTCACTTAGCGCTGTCAAAATGAGAAATGCATGTTATATTAAACGTCTATAATGAGACATGTTCTATGGACAGTATGAACGATTTATTAAAACAGCAAACGATTTTATCAGACACCTGTAGAAAGATGTGAAATTTAGCATATGAAGTATGACAGCAACAACCTTACCAAAACATAAATAATGACAAAATATAACACCAAATTATTACAAATAGTGCCCGTAACCTATATCAGTTCATATTAAACATTGAGTTCTTGGATGGTGCTTCTCATACTCTAATAACCTCTTCAACACAACATGGCATGCTGTCGATGAGGTTATTGGCGTAATTTACCATGATTTCGTCCCAACTTATCA